GTGAGTGTCCGTCCCTCCCCATTTGCGGACTTTCTGGGCGTGCGCTCGACCTCAAGGAGAAAGCCGTTTCTTTGTTGATTATTGGGGCTATATCAACCGGGGGATTGTATGTATTTCCTCCCCTTTTATTGCTTCTGTTTTTTGTTTGTGTGTTTGTTTTGTTTGTTTGCTGTTGCTGTTTTTTCGTGCGTTTATTGTTTGTCTCTCTCACTTATTTCTTTATTTTTTTCATCTTCATCTAACTTCGCCTTCTATTTTTTTTTCTTTCTTTTTTTTTTACTTACTCTTCTTCTTCTTCTTCTTCTTCTTCTTCTTCTTCTTCTTCTTCTTCTTCGGTTATTTTTTTCTCATATTTTATTCCTTTTTCTCTCTACTTTACTAATTAGTATCCTATTAATCTTTATACTATATTTTTTTATTTCCATCTTTCTCAGTGACTTCTTTCTCCTTCATTCTTCTCCTTGTGCTCTTTCTTTCTCCCTTCTGCTCTCTCTTCCTCTTCCTCTTCCTTCTTCTTCTCCTTCTCCTTTTCTTTCTCTTTCTCTTTCTCTTCCATCTTCTTCTTTTCCACCTCATCTTCCTCTACCTCCACCTCCTCTTTCTATTTACTTTCCCTCTTCTTCTCCTTCTCCTCTCCCTCCTTCTCTTCTCCTTCCTCCTTCTCTCCCTCCTCCTTGTCTCTCCTATCCTTCTCCTTCTCCTCCTCCACCTCTTTTCCTCCATCTCATCCTCCCTCATCCTCCTCCTCCTTCCTCTTCCTCCTGTACTCCTTAATTCTCTGTGTCTTCTTTCTCCTCCTTTTTCTCTTTCTCTTCCTTCTCCTTCTCTTTCTCTTCCTTTTCCTTCCTCTTCTCTTTCTCTTTTTCTCCTTCTCCTCCTCTTTTTCATCTTTCTCCTTTTCCTCTAATCTCTTCCTCTTCCACTATTCTCTTCCTCCTCCTCCTATACCTCGTTTTCTTTCTATTCCTTCCGTCTTCTCTTCCACCCCTTCTTCCCTTTATCCTCCTTCTCCTTCTCCTCCTCCTCCGTCTCATTCTCTTTCTCTTCTCTTTCCTCCTTCCCATCCACCTCCTTCTCTTCCCTCTCCTTCTCCTCTCTTTCTCCTTCTCCTCCTTCACTGTCTCCTTTCTTTCTCCTTCCCTTCCATCTTCTCCTTATATCTTCCCTTTCTCCTTACCTCTTCCCTCTCCTCCATCTCCTCCACCTCCTTCTTCTTCTCTTCCTCCTTCTCTTTCTCTGCTTTCTCCTCCTTCTCCTCCACCTTCTACTTTCTTTCTCTTTCTCTTTCTCTTCCCTCTCCTCATTCTCCTTCACCTCCTTTCCTTCTATTTCTCTTCCCTCTCCTCCTTCTCCTCCTCTTTCTCTTCTTTCTCCCCCTCCTCCTTCTCTTCCCTCTCCTCATTCTCCTCCATCTCCTTCTCCTTCTCTCTCTCTCTTCCCTCTCCTCCACCTCTTCTCCTTCTCTCTCTCTCTTTCCCTCCTCTTCGGCCTCCATCTCATCTCTCCTTCTCCTCTCGATCTCCTCTCTTCTCATCTTCTCTCCACCAGACCTCAAGCCCACCTCTCCTCTTCTTTTTCTCTTTTTCTTTTTTTCTTTCTCTCTCTTCTTTTTTGCTCCCTTCTCTTTCTTTCATTTCTTCTCTTCTTTTTCTTCTTTTCTCTCTCTTATTTTCTTTTTTTTTCTTTTTTTTTCTTTTTTTTCTCGATTCTTCCTCTCTTTTTTTTTTTTTTTTTCTTTCTTTTCTTTTTTTCTTTCTCTTACTCTCTTCTCTTTATCTCTTCTCTTTTTCTTCTTCTTACTCTTTTCTTTTCTTCTTCTCTCTCTCATTCTTTTTCTCTTTTCTCTCTCTTTTTCTCTTTCATTTTTCTCTTCCTCTTTTTTCTCTCTCCTCTTCTCTTTTACTCTTCCTCTTTTTTTTCTCTCTTCTCTTTTTTACTCTCCTCTTCTTCTTTTTCGTTTTTTACTTCGTCTCCCTTTTCTCCGCATCCTTTTCCTCTTTTTCTTCTTTCATCTCCTCTTCCTCCTTCTCCTTCTCTTCCCTCTCCTCCTTCTCCTCCACTTCTTCTCCTTCTATTTTTCCTCTCTCCTCCGTCTCCTCCACCTTCTTCTCCTTCTCTCTCTCTTCCCTCTACTCTTTCTGCTTCTCTTTTTCTTCTCTCCTCATTTTCCTCCACTTTCTTCTCCTTTTCTCTTTCTTCCCTCTTCTCCTTCTCCACCTTCTTCTTCTCTCTCTCTTCCCTATCCTCCTTCTCCTCCACCTCCTTTTCCTTCTCCTTCTCTTCCCTCCACCTCCTCTCCTTTTCTCTCTCTTCCCTCTCCTCCTTCTCCTCCACCTTCTTCTCAATCTCCTACTCTCCCCTCTCCTCCTTCTCCTCCACCTCCTCCAGTTCCTTCTCCTTCTCCTACTCTTCCCCCTCCTTTTCTACCATCTTCTTCTCCCTCTCTCTCTCTACCCTCTCCTCCTTTTTCTCCACCACCTCCTCCTTCACTTTTTCTTCTCTCCTCCTTTTCCTCCACCTCCTTCTCCTTCTCCTTCTCCTCCTCTTCCCTATCCTCCTTCTCCTCCACCTCCTTTTCCTCCTCCTCCTCTTCCTCCTCCTCAATCAAGAACTCACAACACAACCCTTCCAACCTGACGGAGAAATGGAAACAGTAAAGAACACAAGATAAAAAAAAAAAAAAAAAAAAAAAAAAAAAAAAAAAAAAAAAACTTCAAAGGTGATTTATTCCTGGATTTTTAGACCATTCGAAGCCACGCCCACCCGCAAGAGGTCAACCAGAGGACAAGAGAAGCATAAATTTTGCCTCGTGAACACCTAAATTGGCCTGACGAAGGGAGGGAGTCGGCGACCAAACTGCCATCTTGGTTTTAGTTTATGCAGTTGATGATAATGATGCTATTGCTGGTTGCAAGCGTTGCGGCTTGGGTGTCATAATGATTATGGTCTTAGTTATTAAGTCTTGTTGGTCTATGTTATTGCTGTCGTTGTTGTTGTTATTGTTATTATTATCATTATGATTATTGTTCTCGTCATCATTATTACTATTATCATTATTATTTTCATCATCATCATTGTTAATATCATAATCATTATTATCAATATTATTATTATTATTATTATTATTATTATTATTATTATTATTATTATTAATATTATTCTCATTATTATCATTATTGCTATTATTATTATTATCATTATTACTTTTCTTAGCATTATTGTTGTCAATACTATTATAATCATCATTTATAATTATTATTATTCTCATTGTTATTATTGTTATTACTATTATTATTATTATTATTATTGATATTATTATCTTTTTATCGTTATTATTATTTCCCTCTTTTTGTTACTGTTATCATTATCGTTACTATTATAATCATTATTGTTACTAGTATCATCATTATTGTTATCCTTATCATTATCACTGATAATTTCATTGTTACTGTTATCTTTGTTATTATCATTGTTACTATTATCTTTGTTATTATCATTGTTACTATTATCTTTGTTATTATCATTGTTATTATTGTTATCCTTATCATTATCATATTATCATTATCCTTGTCATTGCTATTATCATTATCATTGTCATTACTTTCATTATCATTGCTTATATCATTATCATGTTATCATTATATTTTCACAGATATTACCATCAATACCGCTATGATAATAATAAATCATCAATTGATGTTTACTGTTATTATTGTTACTTAAAATGTTCTCCACAATAAACATCACAATTACCACTATGAAAAACGCAATTAGCATCATTATTATTACTACTATCATGATTGTTAAAAGAATATGGTAAATTTTAACAGCTGTTCATATTATCACTAATTATAAAAGAATTAGAAACTAAGAATAAGAGAAACTAAGAAAACGAAGCAGCGAGAAAGCATGGACAGAGAAAAGAATAATAATTAATGTCAGTTGGATAAAGCAACGAGGAAAAACGAAATGAGAGAAAGAGAGAGAAAGATAATGGAGAGAGATATCTAAACTTAAATATAAAGTTTATTTTCAGCAACCGATGAGGAAATTATTAGATATATTTGCATACAGGTCCGTATGTGAGAGTTAAGATATGTTTTTGTTGTCTTTGTAACGTGATCTCGTTTGTTTCTTTGATGTGACCTAACTTGTTTTGTTCAGTAATGATTGTTTCTGCTTTGACCTACTCGTGACCTAGTTCGTTTCCTTCAGTGTGACCTAGTTTGTTTCTTCTGTTTCGACCTCGAACATTTCTTTCCCTCTGGTCTCGTTCTTTCCTTCTATTGTGACTTCACTCGTTTCATCATCAATATGACCTTGCTTGTTTCTTCTGTTTTGACCATGATCGACGTCTTCTGCTGTGACCTTATTCTTTTATGCCACTGTCATCCCCCGTTTCTCTTTTTTTTTTGTGACCTCGCTCGTTTCATCTCCACTTTGACCTCACTCGTTTCCACCACTTGTGACCTAGTTCGTCACTTCCGTTGCAATCTTATTCGTTTCCTCAATGGTTTCTTTCGCGTGAGGTCACGGCGGCAGAAACAAGCGAGGTCAAAGGGGAAGAGACGAGCAGGGTCATAGCGGCATTGTCAATGACGTCACGGTCGAAGAGTCACGTGTTATAGTCAGTTCATTATCTTTATATAAAACTATCTGAAAGCAATGCAAAGTATGTAAAACTACATAATTGTAAACCCACAAATAAATAGATAAAAACCTCAGTTATAGACCTCAAATATAAGCTCATATTCCAAATAACTAGAAGTAGAAGAAAGGGAAGAGGAGGAGGAGAAGACAAAAAGGAGAGATGAAAAAGATGAAAATAATAATAATAATAATAATAATAATGATAATAATAATAATAATAGTAGTAGTAGTAGTAATAGTAGTAGTAGTAGTAACAACAACAAAACAACAATAATGATAATAAGAATAAGAATAAGAATAAAAAGAAAGAGGAGAAGAACAAAGGAAAGAGAAGAAGAAGAAGAAGAAGA